GCCATGTGGGTCACCTCCGGGCCAGGGATCTAACTCACACTGAAGCGGCTGAGTCCAGCTTGCAGTGCTGCGTCCTAACCCGTTACGCCACCAGGGAGGGCCTAAAGGACTTGCTTTTAATAGAGAATGGAGCAAGCCACAGAGGGAGAGAAATGTGAAAAATTCTTGCCCACACAGCCCCTTAGCCCAGCAACAAGAGTCTCTTCTCTTAAAGATGGAAGCGTTTATCATCCTGCTCCACATAAATATTTTCTTCCTTCTGTTCGGGATTCTCAGGCTTAGGACATCAGAAAGGTCAACGCAAATCTCCTGCCCCTGTCAGGTTCCTCCAGTGCCCCCACCTGGCTCAGGTGCATCCTTACCCATGAAGCCCCCTGCCACCCCAGTGACCAGTGCTGGCCCCATGTCCAGTGACCTCCCGCGCCAGCTTCCTGCCTTCCAGACACAGTTTCTCCACAACACATATCCCACCTGCGTATGTTTCCATGGGACCTAGTGTCTGTCTCTCTCCTCTCTCTAGCATTTAGGTGCATGATCACCAGATCTGGAACTTTCCTGCTCACTGACTCTGTTGGATGCCTGGATGGTGATTGGGCAGCTTAAGAGATTCCCAAGAGCCACTTGGATGCCACGTGATCTTTGCCTCCAGCCCAGCCTTAGACTCCGCCACAGAGCGTTAGATGGCTCTGGTGGCTGTTTCTGGGCAGGAGACACTGAGCGACGCTTCTGACCTGCCCCCCTCCCTTTCCCACGCAGGCGACTACACCACACACAACGGAGCTCCCACACCAGCCAAGGAGGGAGACCCAGACCGGCCGCATCGGGCCTCGGACGGCAAACTCCGTGGCAGGGCTAAACGCGGCAGCGACCCCTCCCCGGCCGGGGACAGTGAGATTGAGGTAACTTGGAGGCATCTCCAGAGTGACCGGACCGGAGGTGGGGGACAGGGTTCCCCCCGAGTACATGGGGGCGAATGACCTTTCAGGAGGAAGTGTCAGAGGAAAGAGCACTTGCGGGGAAGCCGGGAACTATTCAGGTGACCCCAGGGGTGGGCCTGAAGAGTGACCCCAGGAGATAGGCAAGCACTGTGGGTCTCCAACTTAACCAGGAGAAGAATCACCTGGTACCAGGTACCAGTAGCCAGCTGGCCAGGTGGGCCTGGGGCAGGGCCCCCACCCAGGAGGGTCACACCTGGGGCCGCATGAGAATCACCTGAATAGCAGGTGCTCAGCCCTCCCATGGGGTAAACATCCAGGGCAGAGCTACAGGTTCCCCAGGGGGGCCCATGTGCTCAGCCTGTGACCCACCCCGGGGGCAGGAGGCTGCCTCTGTGAGCTACATCTGTCCTGGACTCTAAGGTTCGCAGACAGGGTCTCTTGACTCGGACTGCTTGAGTCTCTCCTGGAAGCTTTGAGAAAGCTTCCTTCTCGAGCTGCCTGCTAGATCCATTACAACAGAGTCCTTGAGGGTGGGGCCAGCATCAGTAGTTTCAAGCTCCCCCTGGTGACTCCTGTGTGCAGCCAGACAGAAGCGCTGGTCTAAGGGATGAACCCGCTTTTATGATAATAAAGCAAAGTGAGAGGTGAACCGTCAGCACTGACATGCCCCCAGCAAAAAGAAGCACATGCCGGAGAGGGGAGCACAGTGATGCAGGGGGCTTGATGCGTGCCCTGCAAGAGTCGGCTGTTTCCCAGGGAGGAAGTGGGTGTGGTGCTGGCTTGGTTTTCTTTACGCAAGGCAGCCACTTGTTGGCACGAGTGTGCCGGGGGTGAAGTAGTATTGGCCAAGCCCGAGTCGGGGCCAAGAAATCCGCCTCGTCTTAACATCCGCGTTCAGAATTCTGCTCGACTTACACAGCAGCTATCCACGCAGTATCCTAAGGAACGTCACTGTCATCACTTCCTTTAAGTCCATGTCACTTGACACATGCCGGCTGGAGTGGCCGCTTATGACAAGTCTCATAAGCCATTTCCTCTGAGAGCTTTGCCCCCAACCTACCCTGGGGTTCTGCCACACAGCAAGCGTTCCCACTGCTCATGGGACTGTTTTCAGTCCAAGGGATTCTGTTCTTGCTTTTCCTCTAATTCTTAAAACTCACACACACAGCCTTGCAACACTGAGGTGACTTTGCACACTCCCTCAGTGGGGTTAAGCCTTCGAAACAGACTAGAAGAAAATTTGTTGACGTCAGGTATTCCCTGCTCTCTTCCCTCCCATCCTTTCTGTATTTTCTACCAACTTGAAGCTATGGTGCTTCCACACATGCGTTAATAATTCTCTTTTGAGTATAGGTCACCTAACATGGTGGAGAGCAGTGGCGGGGGGGGGAGGGGGGAAAGGTGGAGAGACAATTTTCCATGGAGCTGAGAAGGGGGCGAGGGTACCTGGAAGTCAAAGATGTGGGGTGATGTGATTCTGGAAACATCTGCTCCTTGATTCCAAGGAGTGCCACTGGGCAAGAGCTGTTGAAAGGTGTGAGCACTGTGCTTAATGTCAGCGTGGAGGGTTTGCCTGGGTCACACCTCTTAAGTCTTTGGCAGTTTTGCTAATAACTGAAGCCCACAAGAGAAAAATTATAGAGAGAAGTGGAAAGGAAGGAAATTCTAAGTATGTATTCACTAAAATCCTTCAGCAGCAAGTGCCAGAATCCAACCAAAGTTCCCTTAAATGACTAAACAGGATTTATCTTCAGGATCCAGGGATTCTCTTGGCACCCAAGGGCAGTGCCAGAGAGGTATCCGCAGGTACTGGAACCAAAAGGTAGCTGGGTGAGGAGATGTGTTTATGCCTTTGTGCTCACATGCCACAGGGAAGGTGTTAAGAGCCCCAGACAGCAGTGTCTTTCCACAGCCCCATGCACGTGTGACTGGGCCCGTCCAGGACCTTCTCCAGGCCCCTCACCCTAGGGCTTCTAGAAGCCAGGACCTAGAAAAGTGCTGAAGATGGAGTTGCCTCTCCGTCTTTCACCTGCAGAATGGCCCCCAGAAACTTACCCACCGAAGCTCTAGGACAGGAGGTTTGAAGAGATACAGACACCAGGACTGGGTGTTTTTAAACTGCAGGCTTCTCCTTTAAATCAATAGTTTTCAGACATTGTTTACCAAATAATATGATGATGGCATGCTGGTCCTGCACATACTTGTACATACATGTAACTAGACTGAAAGATTCAGTAAATAACACTCAAGTGCTAATTGCTTTGAAACCCCCTCGTACTAATTGACTCTTTTCGTTCTAGCTTCTAGAGACTCTTGTCTCTTTTCCTTGAAAGGCCTGGTACATGCCAATGTATAACTATGGCCACTGACCTGAGGAGAGTCTGCTAAACTGGCCCATGCAAGATGGCAGACTGTAGGTGATAGTTGCCCCCACACGTACCAGAAACATAGATAATCAACAGTGTTCTTAAAAATAATGATCGCGTGGAGGGAGGGAAGTGCACTGGACTATGGTGATGGCACACGGGTGATTTGGTGATGGGAGACCCAAGTGAATTGCAACTGAGATGGAAAAATGCACAAAAATATGTAAAAATAAACTAATATAATAAAAAGAAGTGATCGCCAGGAAGTGAGGAAAACCAACAGCAGGAAAAATCAAGGTCAAGGTGGATGAATAGGATAAATGAAAGGAGAGGTAATTTAAAAGAAAAAAATTTAGAAAAATTCTGAATGGTTTTCATATAGAGATTTAAGGAAATCTTGTGTCTATAAAATAAGAAGGGTGACTCCTGGAAAGGGAGCACACAGAGGTAAGAAAGGGTAACAGTGGTGAGCAAAAGTTTACTAGATGGCTGACAGGGGAAGCTTAAGAAATCTCCCTGAATATAGGTCAAAAAGACAAAATCACAGAAAAAATACTTTTAAAGGTAAGCAATATCGATTCACGAGATCTAATTTGACTATTGGGAACTTCAGAAGGTGGAAAAAAGAGGAGGGAATTATTTGAAGAAATAAAATTGAACAAACTTAAGTGCAGAATGGGATGAATGGGAAAAGACCACACCTATGTATATATAATCTTATGGAACTTGAGAATACCAAGTATAAAATAAAGATCCTTTAAAAAAAAATCTAGCAAGAAAAGAAGCAAAGTTTACAAAAGATTGAAAATCAAGGAAACATCAGACTACTTCAGTCATTCTGGATAGATATGGAGCGTAATGGAGGGATTCTTTCAAAGATGTAGAGGATTTTGTTTTCCAGCTGGAATTCTGTAGCCAGAGGTATTGTCAAAGAAAATAAGGGTAACGGATTTGGAAGAATTCAGATTACTTTCTATGCACCCTTTCAGAGAGAGCAACTAAAGGGTGTATGTACTCAAGCAAAACAGGGAAGAAAACCACATGGAATTCAGGAAACAGTAGATCTGACTCTGAAATGCAGAAAAAAGGAACTCACAGGATACCAGCTTTACAGCAAGCCTAGAGATGACCTAGTCCACAGTGAAACATTCCGTCATTTTCAATATAGCACATTTTCAATACAGAGCATGTGACTGATTTTGATATTGTAATGAAGGCAATTTATGGCAAACAAGAAGAGAATTAAAGCAATTAATAAAACTCCAGGCCCCCCCCCCCAAAAAAAAGTGATGCAAGACAAGCATAATTCCTAGAAGGAGAAACAAAATTGGCACGGTTTTAGTTGGGAGGGAGTTCACAGAAGGAGAATACCTGCATCTTTCATGGTAAGAATGGCCCTTAATGTGGTTCACGGGATTATTTTGTTGGACACACATTACTTGATTCTGCAGTGAAGACTAATCACAAGAATTAATCATAGTGAATGCTCTTTAACTCTTAACCAACTTTTAAAATCAACACACAGAGCACAGGAAAGTGTAATCATAAAATCAAATGCACCAGCCATTGTATCCACACTGAGAACACAAAAGTAAGGCTAATGCTTGATAGATACTGGAAAGGAAAGGAAGTAGGGACAGCAATGTCCATCCCTTCCATATTGAACCTACTGCTTTATTCAAGGGAGAATAGAAGGTCCAGAGCTGAATGAAATTGGAGATAGAGACAAAAATAAAAAGGTCTGAAGAAATGGGGGAGACTGCCATCAGCAAAGCCCAAATCGTTCAGCCTGTCCAGTCAAAAGATGTTGCCTAAAGTTGACAAGGCAGTAAGTGAAAGTATAATTCAAATTAAATAGAATTATGGATTCCGGTAGAATTCTAATCACTTAGAATTGTGGCAGTGGCCAGCAGAATCACTACCAACGTAAATGGCCACCAGAAGTGGCGTCAGGGCACTCGGTGTTAAGATCTTTATTGTTGTGTTTGGACCAGATTCCTGCTCTGTGTGGAAGCCCCTTGTTTCTGGCCCCTAGCGACTTGCTAGGAGCCCAGAATTGGCCATCAGAACACACAGCTAAGGCTAGTTCCTGCCTCGGTCCTGTGAGTTGGATGTTTTATAACTTAAAGATAATGTTTTCCAAGACTTGTTTTCCTCCTAGGAAATTGCTTTCTGCAGACTCTAAGTCAGATGAAGCAGGCCCATTTGTCCCCATTCTCTCCCTCTCTTTCATCACAGCGTGTGTTCGTGTGGGACCTGGACGAGACCATCATTATTTTTCACTCCTTACTCACGGGGACCTTTGCGTCCAGATACGGGAAGGTAAGAATCTATCTTGTCTCTTTTTTTTCCCTTTCAGCATAAAGGTCTGTCCAGCTGATGTGTCCTGGCAACGGTGGGGGCAGTTTATGACGGAATCCCACCAAAGTTGCCCTGTGGGTCGGCCTGGGTTTGAGAGCACCTACAGAATTTTCCCTTGACATGTGAAAAGTTGATTAGCTGCTCCTTCTATTGCCTTTCACGCCTCTTCTCCCAATACATGGAGTGTCCACTATCCACCTGATGAGCTGTAAGCTGTGGTCATCTGCTCCCTCCCTCCTGAGAGGGCTGGACCAGGCTGCAGCCAAAAACAATAATCCTAACTAAAAAACGAGGTAAAGCACTTTTCTTCTCCCCTCTTGTTTAGCTTAGTGTGTTTAGCTTAGTGTCTTCAGAAGATGAATTTAATTTTCCTTCCTTTTTTTCCTGAGACAAGAGGGGGCATTAGTCAGCTCCAGGATGGCTCTTAGCAACCGTTTTGCAAATGTATCATCAACAAATTATGTCAGAGAGCCAACCAGTTGGAATTCCGGGCAGATGCTCTCAGCTGATTGCGGGTTAATGGAGGAAAATAGTGAAACCACCTTAACAATTCCAAAATGAACCCAACTGCTAAAATCCAACCCCTGCCGATCCTTGGCCGTGACTCTTTAACAGGTAGAGACTGCAGACGTCTGCATCTGTCTCAGCGAGACAGGTAGGGGTGGGAGGCAACGCTTTGGAGGACAGGTGAGTTGTCCTGTCCCGAGGGGAGTGACACGAAGCACCGCCTCCATGCTGGTTGGGAACTGTGAGTCTCACCAGCGCCTGGAAAATATTTCTGTTTCTGTTTAGAGACCAGGAGTATGATGTGACATCACCTCATGGCTTTCCCAGCTGCTCGTGTTTTTTATAGGGGTTATAACAAGCTGGATGTATAATTAGTAAGATAGATTTATCGTCTGCCATTATGTTGTAAAGAATATAAAAATGGTGTTGGTGGTGCAGAAATCTCCTGCCACTTAGGAATGCTGTTAATATGTCTAGCAGTGCCTGCGGGAAATCCGGCACGTTGGGGCTGTTCGTGGCGAAAGTAAAGGGTGGCAGAGCCCGGAGCGGCTGAAAACGCCAGGGAGGGCACTTGCTATCCAAAGAGGCAGCCGTAGTGAGCTGCCCGTGAGGTCTGGGTGGCCAGGGTATTGCTAACCACAGTCACCTCCTCTGAGCAGCCTTCCTTTGCTCTCCGTGCCTTGTGGGTCTTCCTCACTTTCAAGTTTCAAAGCAGTTTGGTTCTCGTGGGTTGTGCTGAGTTTTGCCATGCTGAGTGTGATTTTTTCTTCTGGTAGCTCACCAGCACCCCTTAAACCCAGCAGCCCAGGGCCCTGCCAGCAGCCTCTCTCTGGCCCTCCCTTCTAATCCCACCCACCTTCCCCTGGCCTCCTTTCTGGCTTGTCAGCCTCCACTCATGTCCCTCACTGCCCCAGCGGAGGGCTCAGCCTAAAATACAGGTCAGCTCAGACTACTCCCCACTGCTGAAAAGCCACCAGCATCTACCTCTCTCTGGACAAATCCCTGCCCCAGCCTCCTGGCCCTTCGTGCCTGGCCCCTGCCTCTTTCCCAATGTCCGTCCTGAGTAGCTGTCCTGGAACCTGTCACGGTCTCTCCCATCTCTGCTGGGTTTCTCCAAGATGCAGGTAGCTGCAGTCCTGGGTCAAGGGAGGATGTTTCGGTCAAATCCAAACCATGTGGGCAATGGCGGTCCCAATGTCTCTGCCACCGAGCCGAGACCCCCATCAGGATTTGCCCTGCAAGTTTGTGAAATTGCACCCTACATCACGTGCACAGCAGTGAAATCACCCTGTGGTGCAGTTCTTGGAACAACTACGTGACATAGTTGGAGAGTGATCCCAGGAAGCACTGGGGGCATGGTGGGGAGCTTGGAGAGGACCTGTCTGGGCACCTGAAGAGTCAGAACACACCTCAGAGCTGACTCTGCCAAGGGGCAGGGCTGGAATATTTACCTACAGGTCCACTTTCCTCATGTCCTGAGGGCTTCTTCTGGAAGTACCTCCCTCCCCCTGGTCTGCCCCCAGGAAGCCCCCCGGGGGGGGGGGGGATCACGGATGCCAACAGTGGAAAGGTACAGGAATGGTGACACGAGGCGGGCATAGGAGAGGAACACACTAGAAGCTTCTGCTATCACCCAGAATGTTCTAGATTCTTTTTCTGTTACTAGGTTAAATCTTCTCTTCAGTTCTCATTTTAAATATGGCTTCCTCCCTGAGGACTTTCCTAACCACGCCCCTCCATCTAAATGGCATTTCTTCCCCTAGCTGTATTTTCTGTGTATATTAATTTGCATTTGTTGTCTGCCTCCCTTCCAGGCTGTAGGTGCCATGAGGGTAGGGACCATGAGCATTTTATATCAGCCCAGCCGAGCCTGGTGCATCGGTCAGAATTGCTCATAAATATTCCTTGAAGGAACCAGGATGATGCTCTAGAATAAACCTGCGTAAAGACAGTTCCATTTTTTTCTGTTTTGTTCTATTTTATTCATTGCTTTAGATCTCAGGGCATCGAACCTACCCCCACCTCCTTCTACACACACACACATAATATCAAATAAATATTTGTTGAATGAAGAAAGGAAGGAAGGAAAATGGTATCAAAACAAAAAATTCCTAACTGATGGCCACCAGCCAAATTCAGCCTGCAGACATTTTCGTTTGGCCCCTTGAGTGTTGGAAAAAATGTGAATTTGTCGCCAACGTTTAAAAACCAGGAGATTGCGCAGACCAAAACAATCTAGATTTTCAACTCTTCTTGAAAATTTAGAAAATCTGGCAGCCCTGCTCTCACTCCCCCGGGCAGCAATCAGTAGGCTGAGGAGCGACGGCAGGCTTGGCAGAGTGGACGTGCTCTCGTCCGCTGGCAACCCCACCTGCCTGTGGAACTCGTCTGTGGGACCCTCCTGCCCCCTCGGCATCTGAGTTTCAACATCTGTCCTAGGATCACGGAAAGAGCTGGAAGGGCCTAGGAGGCCATCCTGACGATTAGTCTCCACAGGATCACCCAGGAAATGAGAAGTCAGGTCCCAGGCTCATCTGTCTCCCTGAGTACAGGTCCAGAGAAAACTGAGTCCCCAGGGCACCTATCCCATGTTGGCTGCTCTTCTAGAATGTTCCATTCCCCCCTTCAGCTCAGTCTTTGGTTTTGGGCTTTTTGTTGTTGTTTTTGGATTTTTGTGTGTGTTCCTGTTTTGGGTTTTGTTTGTTTGTTTGTTTGTTTGTTTGTTTGTTTTTGCTAAATCCAGGCACCCTCAGAGGATACAAAATAACCATGACTTAAAGTTTATTTCTCTCATCTGGCAGTGCAAGCACTTCAAGGCTTCTTCCTTCTCGTTCTCTGCCATCTCTGGGACATTGCCCTCATTGGCAAGAGAAAACATAACTCACCCCCATGTCTGTTTTCCAGCCAGTGAGAAGAGAGAATGGGAAAAGAGGAGTTCACCCCTTTCTTTTTATTTTCTTTCTTTCTTTCTTTCTTTTTTCCCCTCTCTTTAAGGCCAGACCCAGAAGTTGACCATATCATTTTTACTCACATCCCATTGGCTAGAACTTGATTATATGACCATACCTAGCTGCAAGGGAGAATGGGAAAAATAGTCGCGGCGTGTGCCTCATTAAAATTCAGGGTGAAAAGGAGAAAGGAAGAATGAATCTTAAAGGACAACTATCAACTCCTAACACAAAGTATTATCTGACGAGAGAAATAACAACAAGAGAGAAAAATATTGATGAAAAATAAATTGAGTTCTGTTTTAAGAAGGCCAGAGAACAGCTGGATTTGTGGTCTGAAACTCCACAGAGAGGTCTGGACTGCAGCTATAAATGTGGAAGTCAGGGAGCTGTGGAGAGCCTATGGGAACAGGAGTGTGTACCCAATTTTGCAATTTTACCTGAGGCTCAGGGAGGTGGTGGACTTGCTGTCCTCACAACAAAGCTAAAATACCTGCCTTGAAGTTTGGCCCACAGCCCTTTCTCTTTGTGCTTGAAGGCAACTCCAGCCATGTGGAGTTGACCAGTCATAGCTGACACCAGGCAGGACTCAGTTTGGAGCATGGGGTGTTTAAGGTACAAAGGGACTGATTAGATCCCAGTAATTGAAAAGGTCATTGGCATCTGAGATCTAGGTCAGGCTGGATCCCAGAGCTCAAGTAGAGTCCTCAGGGCTCAGTCTCAAACCCTCAGCTAGTTTTCTTCATGGAGTGATACTCTCTCAGCAATTCCAGCTGGAAAGGAGGCTTTTTGCTTCCCAATTCCAGCCCAAGTCTCAGGCTTGAATCTCATTGGCCCAAACTGCATCCAGTGTCTGTCCACGTGCCAAGCGCGGTGGCTCTGATTGACCAGCCTCATCAGAAGCCCATCTCGGCATGAAGATAGTGGGGGAGTGAGTCACCTCCTTCCCAGTCACAAGGGGTGGGGGGCGGGCGGCTGGCCATCCATCCCTGTAGAAGAGGACATGGTGGGGAGTGCAGAGTGGGCCCAGAAGGAAGACACCTGGCACATCCACACCAAATACCAGCGGCTTTTGCCGGTTGTGGCCCTGTGCTTAGCACTTTGCAAGAAGCAGAAATCACAGCCATCAGCTGTGGTGCCAGCTCAAGAGGTGACTCGCTGTTTATGTAGGGAAACAAAACCAGTGGAGCTAAAATGATTACAAAATGATTCAAAACACAGTGAATTTTAAAACAAACTAGGCTCTCTTCCTGTCCCTCATCAGGACGCTTGCTGTTCAAGGCTGTCATCGCCCCACTTCCTTTCCGTCTCTTCCCATTCAGTGCCGAGAGCCAGAGCCGCCTCTTCTAGCTGTGCCTCCCTGCCTCTTGCATCTTGTGGAGCCATTAGAGGGTCCCTTGGGAGCAGGAGCAGCCAGTGTTTGCTGCCTTTTCATAAACTCTCCCCTCCACCTCCCTTAAAGAGTCCTTGAACTCTCTTCTTTCCGGCTGAGACGAGGCGTATCCA